AAGAGAAAGGAGGAGAGCGAGCGATCGACGAGCGAGAGAGAGAGAGAGAGAGAGAGAGAGAGAGAGAGAGAGAGGAGGGAGAGAGAGAGAGAGAGAGAGCGCGAGAAAGCCTGAGAACTTCAAACTTCTTATTTTTTGGCCTTTTGTAGCCCTCATCAGTTTTTGCCCATTTTGTATTGGTATCGTTGTTTATCTCCCTTCCGTCCCAGCCACGAGGCTTGACCACCTCGCTTCCGCCGGCCCTTCTTTCCGGGCTTTATCAGCTCTTTGTCGTCTTTTTTGGTGACGCTCCACCTTCAGGCAGGATTTAAGGCCGCCCCTATGGCTTCCGTTTCACTGTGCTACTATACGATTTTTTGGATTCGAATTTATTACCGTGTCACAGTTAAAATTCACTTTGTTGATGCCAACCTTTTCAGAAAGTACAACATGTTCGCCTCTCGTGCCCTGTCCAACGCTGCCCGTACCGTCTCGGAAACGACGTACACCTATAGCCGGTGAGTTTTGAAGGGAGAGAGAGAGAGAGAAATAGAGGCCAATGAGAGGGAGGAGGGAGAGGGATCGAGTTATACAAGGGTGTCCCCTCGAGCAATGCCCACAGACGAAGTCCCGGTGACCGAGGACAATTCAATGCCGACGACGCTGAACCAGACCCGAAACGCCTTCGTCGACAGCTTTAAGTGGGTTTCAACAAAAAATATACACTTTTCGAAGTATAATAGGACGGTAAAAATTGCTAGACCTTCTGTTAAGCTTTTAAAAATTCAAATTGGTGATGGTTGTACGAAATTTGCCCCGAAAAATTCTGTTTTTGCAGGCAAAACTTAGATTAATAATCGTAAAGCAGCATATCAAATTTTTATCTCAATTTTCAGCTTCACCCCCAAGACGGAAACCACCTTCTCGAAGACGAGTCAACCCACGCACCGTTTCAACCCGTTCATGACAAAGCAGTGATCTCAGCAACTTCAACATTCCGACCTTCGACCCTTAAATATACATATTTGACTTGTGTCGTCTTTGCGTAATGCCTGTATATAGCCAACGAGTGGAATAAACATGAGTGCTTTCCTATACAAATCAAAACATTCATGCCTAAAAAACTCGGCGAAACTGGCAAAACTTAAAATAGGCATATTCAGGGAATGTGGCATTGGAAATAATGCTTGTCCTAATTTTACACGTTAGAGGAAGAATTTGGCTTTGTTTTTCGGCCTGTCATGTACCAGCATCGCTTCAAAGCCAAAAGTTGAAGCGATATCCGAGCAACTTCAGGCTCACTTTGTCTCTCTCCTTACCCCTCATTCTCTCCATGTCTCTCTCTAGCTGTCTCTCGCTCGCTTTCTCTGCCTCTCTCTCTCACCCCCTTGCTCTTTTTCTCGCGCTCTTCTACTCTAATTTTTTAACTCCATCTCTCAAACTCAATAGCTCTCTACGTTTCTGACTTCCTGTTTCTGTCACTACCCTTTAGAAGCCGACACCGAGCCAAAATCTAAACTGAGAGTACTAACAATTGCAATGGGCGAATTCTGCCTGCAGATGGCAGTTTCCTGGCACCCCCACTTTAACCTAACCCTAACAATTTGATCCACAGCGCCCCAGCGAACGTTTTGGCAGTCCTCCTCGCGCCCCTGTCGTTTTTGCAACTTTTTCGGGCTGCAAACGATGATCCGCCCTGTGTCCGGCAGATCGATGTTCGAAACGGGGTGAGCCGGCCCAGGCAAAGCCCGCTAAAAATATCAATATTGTCGACCCCCGAGTTTCATCGGCTTCGGCGGAGCAAGGGCGAGTGTTCCTGGGCGGGCAAATATTGCGTTTTTCATATTTATTTTCTGCAAATCGTGGGGCTTATTTTTCGAAACCCCAGCAAAGGGTTTTCAGCAAAATTCCGGGTGGCGGAGGGTGTCTATAAGTCTATTTCTACATAAACAATTCTTGACGAATTTACCGTGTTCAAGGGATCGTGACAGCAGGTATTTAGCTGTTTCGACCTCTTTAAAATGCGGAGAATCGACCAGATTTAATGCTTTTACGCTCTCCCTCCTCTCTCTCTCTCGCTCTATCCCACCCTCTCTCTCTCTTTCTCTCTCTCTCTCTCTCTCTCTCTCTCTCTCTTTCTCTCTCTCCCTCTCGATCTGGCGCTCTTTCTGTTTCGTTTTCTCTATCTCACTATGTCTTTCTCGCTCTCATTCTCTCTATCTCTCTCTCTCTCTCTCTCTCTCTCTCTCTCTCTCTATTCCGTTCTCCCTCTTCCCTTCTGGATGAAGGCCAACGTTTCGCACCAAAATACGCTAATCCAATGGATCTGACGAGTGGTATTTTTCATTGTCACAAATACGCACAAGCTAGCCGGGTTATTTTTATCCCCCTTTTCCATCCCCTTTCCACGGCGCTCCTTTTGACTAATTCTCATCGGATGGGTGACCACCCGCATAGACACACGCAAAAAGGGCGTAATTTAGCCGGGCCGTAGAGGTGACGCTCGGAAACACGGATCCCCTCCGGCTTGCGATGAAAAATGGCGCGTCGTTCATATATTTTTGGCGCTTGCATGGGTGCGTTTTAGCGGGCCTCGCATGTCTTGACGTGATGACGTCTGCAGAATAGCGGAATAACTACGCAGAGATTTTTGTAACTTTTCTAAACATGGGAGCTGGACGGTCGAAGAAAGAAAAAGCTTTGCTTACCAAAGCAGATACGTACTTCCTTACACGTTTTTGCCCAGTTTTCGGGGTTTTCCGGTCGTTTTTACGATATGCGTGTGCCTGTGCCAAGAATTGTTGCAGAGCCCTGTTTTCCTAATTACTTTAAAAAAATTTTAGCGTTTGATTCTGTTTGGACAGTTTTTACAAAAAAATGTCAAAAAATTTAATCATACCGTGAAAGTTTTTTCTAAACGGCCCGCCAAAAACAAACTTCTAGCCTTGACCCAACTAAAATGTTTCTGCCGTAAATCCTAGGTTTTTTCTTTTTTTCCCCATTTCCCTGTCTTGCCAAGATGACGTCATCGCGATTATGCGGTTAGACGGAAACACTTGGAATTCCCCTCTTTCACACCCCTGAAATCAAAAACACATTACACGGGCCGGAGAGCAGGCGGAAATGGCTTTTTGAATTTTGGGTCGAAAGATAACAGGCTGGCTTGTGGTTTCAACTTTTAGGTTCAGCAGTACTTTTACTGAACCTCTTTGCCGTTTGAGGACCTAAAAACCAGACTTTCTACTGTCTGTTTTATCGCGTATTTACCTTTTTAGCTAGCGGGATTTTACTAGGCATCTAAAAACAACGAAAATTAATTTTTCCCTATAACTTTCTAGCGTTTGTTTTTAAGCTTAATTTTAGGTATACATAGTACTTTACAAAAACGGCTTTTAAATTTTTGTGTGGTAATTCCTCCGAGTCGTCTTGCTTTTTTAGGTGTTTAAAGCGCACGTTCAGGGAGGGGCCGTGTACTCGTCCCAACGTGTACACCCTATGGACGTAGCGACCGCGCGCACTGCCTGCCCGTGCTGTGACAGGCCATTCCCCTCCTTTGCGACGTGGGGCGCCCCTCGCCTCCCCGCCAGGTTGTAGCTGTGGCTGACTGGTATCCATCCGCGCCTCCCGAGCGGGGGGCCCGGGTTCGACCCCCGGCCGCGGCGAAAATCTTTGCTTTTTCCCAAAAAAACGTCCCGGAACGTGCCCTTTAAGAGAGCTATACGCCGAGACAATACACTTTTTCATACCGTAATCCTTTTTGCGGTTTTACTAGAATTTTCACTCCCAAAAGTAGGATTCTCGGAAATATGGCAACTTCTCATCGTCTGAAAACCCGCTGAACATTTTCCCCATTCAGGTTCTGCGTGGCTGGCTGTTTTTGTCAGCTCGCCGTACTTTTCCAATTTCATCCCCCTCCCCCAGCCGCCCCCTTTTTCCCAAGGGCTTCTCCGGATTCACACGGCGCTTTTGGCTTCGTTTGAAGTGGGAAGCCATTTTTGGAATCTTTTTTACGGTTTTTAGAAAGTGAATTGGGTGACCCAAATGTAATTTCGATAATTCTTAGTTTTTAATGGATTTTAATTTCGCTTGAAGCGTCGCGAATTGTTGCTCAGATTTTTCGTATATTGTAGTGGTATATTTCATATACTTATATTTAATCGATCGCAATTATTAACCTTCGGAAATTGCATCATATTAGATTTTAAATTGCTTTTTAGGCGCTTTTTAAAGGAGCTAGAAAACGCCCGAATCGCCCCCGATCTAGGCTAGGTCTCGACAGCTATAAACCACAGCAAAAGCGTATTCAATGTAACTTTGATTAAAAACTTATAATGTCGAAATCTGATTAATATCGGCATTCATAATTTCGAATTTTACTTAATCAAATCTCCTCGAAAACCCCCACCTCTGATGCAAAAAATTTGGTCATTATCGAATTTGAACCTCCTGAGACTTCGACATTTTGAAATTTCGACTATGAAATTTTGACATTATGCAGGTTGCTACGAACTACAAATATCCCAAAAACGTTCTGCAGGTAATTTGAGTAGCAACCGAGCAACGAGTAGGTGATGCCCTAATGAGGGCCCTCGTTAGAACGTAGCCCGCGGTTCTTTTCTCATATTTTCCGCTTGCCGCGGGCTACCCACCTGAAATCGGATGCGATGTGGCGGGTGGTGAGGAGGCCAAAAAGGGCCAGGCACGGCTAATGCTCGCGAGACGACTAATTGTTTACCAAAATCGGCCCCAGGAGGGCCAGGATTTTACTTATTTACCTGGAGAAAACTAGACTCAGTCAGATGGGTCGGATTTTCGTAAAATGCCAATCCACGAAGCTACCGTAAGTCATAAAAGTCGTTGAAACAGATGTTGATTTTCATAAATTTTTAAATTTATGGAATTTTTTGTAGGATTTCAATTAAATTTAAATTTGAAATTTTTGTTGTGTTTTCTTGCAACCCTGATTTCATTCAAAGCGCACCTATGTACAGCCAGAATACAATTCCCAGACCATAATTACGGGGCATTTCGATTCAGTGAACCGGCTATTTGCCTATTTATTAAAGGGGAAATTTAATGAGAAATAAAATATTGAAAATGGAATGCTATTTAGTCGAAAATCTCCAAAAACTGCGGTTTTTTTTGGAAAATCGATAAATTCGTGCTGTTTATTTTCTAAGTTTAATTAATAAAATTCTTGTTAATTTTTAAGTCAGAAATTTACGAAAAATCCGGCTAGATTTAATAAATGGGCTTATTCCAAATCTATCCAAATTTAATTTTGTAGAAAATTCACTCTCTTTCACTCACTCAATTATTCATTTCAAAGATTGGCCGATTCAAATGGCATTGCATTGAATTTTCGACAAAAGACATTTCTCCAAAATGAAATTTTGGTAAAATTACCATGCTATATAATCTCCACAAATTAATAAAATAAATTAAATTTTCGGCACAAACGAAATTTCGACAAAATTGAATTTTGACAAAGTGATGCAAGTACATAATGAACTAATTAT